ATAAATATTTTTACTTACTCTTTGATATTTATTGAATAAACATTAAAATCTAAAACATAAACATCACGTTTTTTCTGTCCAGTGATCGAGCGCCATTTTGAAAATAGACGTTCGAGGTCGATCTCGATATCATTTCATGCTACAAGGGCCAAATGAATCAGCTATAAAACCTGCCTGTTTAACTTTGATTAACAGGTAACTAAATCCTAGATGTTTATTTGAGTGCATTGTGTCACCAATGAGTATGTAAACACACGCTAGCTAGCACCAACACCAGGTAATAATTGAAGTGATTGAAATATCTGGTCACAAACAGGCAATTAGACACAGTAGTTCAGTAATGGAAAAAAAATTAAATAGGTTAAATAAATATTTTAGTCATAAATATAATTAAATTTTATATCAAGTGCGTAACAAAAATCATGATACAGTTTTATTGCAAATCTCGCTCGAAAGTATTACACTGCGGCTGTAATAGCGTTGCCTTGAGTGTTGCCACTATTGGATTTGACAATTGAACAATTTGAATCACGGGTTTCGTTCTATAAAACAAGCAATTTAATTGGTTGATTAGGACCCACCCACTCTCGTGCAGTATCCTTTACCAATTTAAGTTAGAAAGTGTCCAACGGCTTGTGATTGTCGAAAACCGATGGTGACTTTTTGAACAATAAAATACACATACAAACAAACTACATGTACAAAATCACTTTTTAGCATGTGATATATTCCTTTCACAGACGGTACATGTTTATAGCGTTCGATGACATACCTATTTTCATTTTATTCTACATGTAATTCTTCTGATTTTCTATTCACAGCATTTTCCATTTTCGGTGTTGCTCCGTGTACCTACGTAGAAAGCATACCCAGCGAATACCGGAGCACCTGATGAAAAAATATATATATATATATATCCATATGTGGTAAAACATCGGATTTACTCAAAAGTTTACTGTTTTGTTGTCACGACTGTCAAAAATTCCATGTTTCTAATGTGTGTGTGCTACTGCTATTTTAACGGTCGTCATGGCAATATTAAAACATGCTATCAGAAACATGCATTGCACTTGTTACTGTAATGGGGAATATTATCCATATGTTCACTATAAAATAATTAATATCATTGATACATTTTCCAAATTTAAGAACGTTTAATTTTATTGATGTACTGAAGAAAAAACGGGAAAATGGCCCCGTTTTTCAATCGCAAAAATATGCCCTGGGTGACGTGTATCATTTTAAGTCAACTACTGCCAGTCCTGGATCGGATTTTATTAATTTGAAGATCATTATACAGGTTACCCAACCACAATAATTTAATAAGGTATTACATAGGTCCACTATATACTTTGCTCAGTAAGTAGAGGCCTACCACTTGTTTACAGCTGTCTCCATGAGAAAGTGGGCAGGTCTATAGAAAAGCACCAATCAGACTCTTTGTTGGATATCGCAATTGTATTTCTGTCAGATTCATCAGTGTCGTCACTCAACGCATCAGTATATCGGTCCAAGTGTATACTTTGAAGCAAGATTTGGGATAATTCTTAATAATATGCTACACATACGTAGTTACTTACAGGCTATCTTGTAAAAAAAAACAAAAAAAAACAACAACAACAACAAAAAAAAACAAACTATTATTAGAAAAAAAAACCATGCAGCTTTTTTAAACTGTATGAAAAAAAAGTATTAATATTTTCAGATAATCACAATATTTCCCAATAATCAAATGACTCATGTGCACTAGATCAAGCAATTTTTTTTTTATTTTATTAACAGGACAATTGTAAAAACATTTTAGAGTTGAGCAGTATACCTATTGAAAAGTGAAATTAAACAGAAGGTGTTATAAAATACATTCAACATACACATGTGGTATTTTCCGCATTGTATATTTGAACACTGCGGAAAAAAGCAACCTGTATTAAGAGACCACCTGTCATATGTGACCTTTTTTCCATTCTCCGTTGGAAGGTCTCTTAATACAGGTTTGACTGTACTGTTAATTAAAGCACAAATATTTGTGGGGGATTAAATTTCGTTTATTTCGTTGTTAACAGTTATCAACGAAATTAAATCCCACACAAAATTTTATATGACTTAATATTGAATAGGGTTACTTTTAAAACAACGAAATTATATGCCCACGTAACTATTCTATATAACAAATCAACGAAATTTTATCCCCTCGAAAATTTGTGCTTCTACAGTATATATATATATATATATATATATATATATATATATATATATATATATATATATATATATCCAAAAATGAAAAGAAATAGCACAGTGTCCGGTAATTAATATTAGAAAAAAAATGACAAGGCAACAATGTTAGTAAAACGTAAGCGCTTTCTTCATTATTTCTTCAGACGTTTTACAATTCAAAAATGTGACGTAATAACGTTACCTGTTGATAACGTCAACAACAATGCAATGACGTCACAATGCTAATAGAGGAAACAATTATAGAGTCAAAGTAAAATAACTTAATTCATAACGTAATAAACAATTAAGTCATGAGACAGTCTATATTAAACTATTTAGGGATGGTTTAAAAATCTTGATAAAGTGTTTTTCTTTTTCCCGTCTTTCTAAAACGTTCTCTGTTTTGAGTTTATAAAAGGGATAAACTGTGAATTGTCCCTGTCCACAAACAGCAAGATGTTCACTGAGTTTTATTTTTCTGTACTCGGGTTGGTTGATATGCTGTCTGTGTATACGTATACGAGTGCGAAGGGCAGTACCGCTTTCTCCTATGTATAGTTCTCCGCATCCACCGCGTGTTATACAATAATAAATCAGGTTTTTTGATGTCAGGTCATATCTGCATTTAGGGTAATTTTTTTATTCCCTAGTGTAAAAGTACTTTCCTCTTTAATATATCGGCAAGTTCCTCAACGTGAATCGAAGTATGTATTGACCGTGTATGAATTCCGTTGTTGACATAAAGATTTGCACAATATTCTCCGGAGGTTTTTAGGTTGTCTTTTACTGTTGTTGAATTTATATTTTTCCAGCACGTTGGACATTTTCTCATCCGTCTGTAGAATGTTAATGAGGTAATATTCCTGTTCTTCGGATTGTAGGTATTTACAAGCGGTAATATTGAGGTATCCGGATTGTCACTTTTTGAGGAATAAATGAGTGTTTCTCTGTCGATTTCAGTTGCCTTTTTTATTCCATCCTCAATGATTCTGGAAGGATAACATTGTTCAAGTAAATATTGTTTCAATTCATTTAGACGTTCATCTCTTGTTTTGTCGTCGCTAACTATTGTGCAGACTCTTCTAGCTAAATTGTACGGGGTCGAGCGTTTCGTATGGCTAGGATGACAGGAACTGAAATGAAGATATTGATGGGTGTCCGTCGGTTTGTAGTATATGTCTGTCGAAAGACATTCTCCATCTTTTTTAATTAGGACGTCCAAAAACGGAATACTTTGTAAACTTTCTTCCATTGTGAAGTTGATGTCAGGATCTAGATCATTCATAATATTTAGGAAAGCTGCTAGATTCGCATCGCTGTCATTTCAAATTATAAAACAATCATCGAGGTATCTTTTCCAATTGTTCTTTATATTTTCTGTAGTTTGTTGGTAAAAGTAATTATGAAATCAAAAATATTACAACTGCTCAATAACAGCGAGTTTTACGATGAAATATCAGAAAACAGTGACAAAAAGACAATGCGAAAAATCAAAAACTTGATTAAAAACCACAACACAACGTCCTGTTTAACAAATAAAGAAGAGGACTTCTTAATAAATTTTGATTTCAGAGAAAGTGCCTTTTATGGACTTCCTAAGATACACAAATCTAAAACAATAAAGGAAGCGATTAAAATACAAAACTCTGCATATGTTACATGTAACGACCCGGAAGATCTCACATTTAGACCTATCGTAGGTGGACCAAATGCTCCCACACAAAGACTGAGTCATCTTATGGACATATTACTGAAACCTTTATGCTTAGAAGTAAAAAGTTATGTTCGTGATGATCTGGATTTTCTGAGACATCTACCTGAAAATGTTAGTCATAATGCCAAACTAGTCACAATGGATGTTACCAACTTGTACACTAATATTACTACTGATCTTGGTATCAAGGCGCTCGAATACTGGATTGATAAATATCCACAAAAAATTAATGAGCGTTTCAGCAAAGACTTCATCTTAGAGGCGAGTAAGTTAGTATTGCAAAATAATACTTTCTCCTTTAACGACAAGCATTATGCACAAAAGAAAGGAACAGCAATGGGAACGAAAATGGCCCCTACTTATGCCACCCTTACACTAGGATATCTAGAAGAGAAGATGTATGAAAGAACAACTCGGTACTTTGACCAACAAACTACAGAAAATATAAAGAACAATTGGAAAAGATACCTCGATGATTAGGGCTGAAACGATACGCCCCCCTCACGATACGATACATATTGCAATACATGTGCCACAATTCAATATTTTCAAAACGATACAATATGAAGGAGAAACAAATCATACAATTGAAGAAAAGATATAATCAGGTAAGTCGCACTTTGTAATTTTAATTTCATCAAAAAATGTAAACAGATAATTCAACAAGCACTATTTGTGCCATGAAACAAGGATAAATCATTGAATACAATGAAAAGAACATTGAATAATCAATTAAACAATGAAAGTTAACTTTTATTAATTTGTCATTTATCAATGATCAGAATGACTTTTAGTCGAACTGCTAGTCTGCTATGTAATTTGAATGGAAACTTTCTTTAAAGTCTTTAGCACAAGTCACTCGGAACTTTAAGATTTGATTTCAAGAAAATCAACATATCCACATTATCACCACTCAGTGAAGCTCTCTGGGCACATACGATTTCCCCTGCCGCAGAAAATACCCTTCTGAGGGTACTGATGTTGCAGGTATTCCTAAGTAATACTTTGCCATTCTAGAGAGTACAGGGTAATTGGTTTGGTGAACCTTCCACCACTCTAAAGGATTGCTTTGAAGAGGTGTTGGTGCCTCAGTTTTGTAAAGAGAAAGCTCTGACTGGATCCTGTCATGTGCGCTTGGTGGTTTTTCTATGCCTGTGATAAAGACATCTCCAAATAAATCGTCCATTGACATTTTTTCTCTTTTAACAGGGGGTGCATCCTCCTTAACTACTTCTCTATTCACCGGTGGATTTGAATCAGGAAGACGTGGGAGTTCTGGAACAATATTCTCAGCTTTTACTGTCACATCAGCCACCTGAAGATAAGTGCATAATGTAATGTTCGTTAAGAATTAAGATTTGAATTTCACCTTTAATATATATTTGAAAAAAAAATGATACTTGCCTTGTTCACATCAAAGAAGAGTGCCTTGTTCTCCAAGTCTTGAAATACATTCTGACGCTTTTCATTTGACAGATATGGTAGAGTCTTGAATCTGGGGTCCAGTGCTGAGCTGTTGAGCAAGACTGACTGAATATCTGGATCAGTGTACCTGTAATTTAAATTGTAAAATGATTTAATAAATACCAAAAAGGCTAATTAAAAGTTTTAAAACTGTGTTGTTATAAATAACAAAACTGTACTAAATATTAGACATCATGATTCATTAATCTTAAATTAAAAATTTGTGTGGTATAATATTAATTATTTTTAGTTTTTTACCGTGTTGCTAGATCATTTAAGATGGTTTTTTTAACTAGCTGAATCAGATTGCTGTCACTATCCTTTGGAGCCATTTGTTGTTTCAGCATCTCCAAGCTTGGATGGATAAAAGATATGGTAGGATGTTTACTGTCACACATCAGAGTTGTAAGCGTTTTCATTGGTTTCAAAACAAGGATCAACTCTTCTGCTGCTTTGAGATCATCATCAGACAATGTGACTACATCTTTCAGATTCTTTTTGACATCCTTAGACAGAAGGGTTGCAAACACTGCAGGTTGCTGCTCAATATATCTACTAAACATGTCGTACGTACTGTTCCAACGAGTTGATAAATCTTGAATCAATTTGTGTTTGGGAAGTTCAAGCAAAACCTGTTTTGATGCCATGATAGCTGTAGCTGTAGAACTTCTGTGAAAAAAAGACACTATCCTTCGAATTCTACCTGCAACTCTATCAACTTGTTGACATTTAATTGCCCTCTGTGTCGCAAGGTTCAATGTGTGTGCAAAACATTTAATGTGGGGGGAAAATTCTGATGAAATGCTGCTTATTCCAGAGACAATGTTACTAGCATTATCTGTAGTAATAGCAATTGGTTGAGACTTCTTGAGACCCCACTCTTCAACAGCATTTGTCAAAACTTCAGCTAAGTTCTCAGCAGTGTGAGAGGAATTTAATTGCCTGGTTTGTAAAGTATGGTTCTGAATTTCAAAACTGCCATCAATGTAGTGGGCAGTGATTGTAACATAACTCTGGGCAGCCCTAGATGTCCAACCATCAGTTGTCACAGCAATGAAATCTGCTTTATTACTGTCAGTAAGAACTCTCTTTTTTACTTTTGTGTAGAGTTCTGGCATCACTTTTTATGCCATGTGTGTTCTACTAGGCATCTCAAATTTTGGTTCTAAAATGCTGACCAAATTCTGAAATCCAATGTTTTCTATTGTTGAAAAGGGGCGCATATCACATGCTAGAAATCCAGCTATTGCCATGGTTATGTTTCGACTCCTCTGTGAAGTTGACGGGAACTTTGTTTTTGGACTAGAAAAATTGTGAAGCTGCAATTGAGTGAACTGCCCTGTATGTGTGCTGTTACTTGTTTTCACAGACATTGTAGACGGAGAATTTTTTAGAGTAGCTGTTACTGGGTTTACTGGGCTCTCATTCAATAATATTGAGTGTTTACGTTTTAAATGTACAGCCATATTGGTTGTGTTTCCTGCCTTGTAACTAACTTCATTGAAACAAATTTTGCAGACAGTTTTATCTCGTTCCGTAACTTGCCTTTCGTTCACGGTTATTATCTTAAATCCAAAATACTTCCATACCGCCGACCGATAAGACGCAGGAGGGTTCTGTAGTTTGATAGGTTTCACTGAAAGATTATTGTTTGTGTCTGTCACAATAGAAACATCGCCTCCTTCAACTGTATCTGTCGAAATTGTTGCCATGTTTTTTCACCTCGTGTAGTTAAACTAATTAAGTATGTCGAACCCGATGCGATAAACCAAACCTGATTTTAAAAAAACGTATCGAACCGAAAATCGAAGCAGTGAATCGAAAATTGAACCGAGCGTAAGTATTGAACAATATCGATATTTCGGTGAATCGTTTCAGCCCTATCGATGATTGTTTTATAATTTGGAATGACAGCGAGGCGAATCTAGCAGCTTTCCTAAATATTATGGATGATCTAGATCCTGACATCAACTTCACAATGGAAGAAAGTTTACAAAGTATTCCGTTTTTGGACGTCCTAATTAAAAAAGATGGAGAATGTCTTTCGACAGACATATACTACAAACCGACGGACACCCATCAATATCTTCATTTCAGTTCCTGTCATCCTAGCCATACGAAACGCTCGATCCCGTACAATTTAGCTAGAAGAGTCTGCACAATAGTTAGCGACGACAAAACAAGAGATGAACGTCTAAATGAATTGAAAAAATATTTACTTGAACAATGTTATCCTTCGTAATCATTGAGGACGGGATAAAAAAGGCCACAGAAATCGACAGAGAAACACTTATTAATTCCTCAAAAAGTGACAACCCGGATAACTCAATATTACCGCTTGTAACTACCTACAATCCGAAGAACAGGAATATTACTCCTACAGTGCGTCACCTCAACAACCTTCTACAGACTGATGAGAAAATGTCCAAAGTGCTGGAAAAATATAAATTCATCAACAGTAAAAGACAACCTAAAAACCTCCGGAGAATATTGTGCAAATCTTTATTTCAACAACGGAATTCATACACGGTCAATACATGCTCCGATTCACGTTGTGGAACTTGCCGACATATTAAAGAGGGAAGTACTTTTACACTCGGAAATAAGAAATTTACCGTAAATGCAGATATGACCTGTGCATCAAAAAACCTGATTTATTGTATAACATGCGCTGGATGCGGAGAATTATACATAGGAGAAACCGGGACCGCCCTTCGCACTCGTATACGTATACACAGACAGCATATCAACCAACCCGAGTACAGAAAAATAAAACTCAGTGAACATCTTGCTGTTTGTGGACAGGAACAATTCACAGTTTATCCCTTTTATAAACTCAAAACAGAGAACGTTTTAGAAAGACGGGAAAAAGAAAAACATTTTATCAAGATTTTTAAACCATCCCTAAATAGTTTAATATAGACTGTCTCATGACTTAATTGTTTATTACGTTATGAATTAAGTTATTTTACTTTGACTCTATTATTGTTTCCTCTATTAGCATTGTGACGTCATTGCATTGTTGTTGACGTTATCAACAGGTAACGTTATTACGTCACATTTTTGAATTGTAAAACGTCTGAAGAAATAATGAAGAAAGCGCTTACGTTTTACTAACATTGTTGCCTTGTCATTTTTTTTCTAATATATATATATATATATATATATATATTTATATATATTTATATATACCCCCAGTATTTCAATGGTGTTGACAAATTAAAAGTTATTTTTTTTAAAATATGACTGTATTATACAATGTAATATGAAAATAAAAGTACTATATATAAATTTTAAAAGTAAAAAGATCTTATGAAAAATGAAGCACATGTATTTTTAAAATTTACATTTACTGGTACTTTCCCTGTGAAAACGGGCAAATGTAAAAGCTGCGATGGATAAGAAGAGGTTGTACTAATTGCCCAAATCCCTGCTGTCAATTCAAAGAAAACAGAAGTACGCAGCAAGTATGATGGATTATTATCCTACACATAGGAGTGTTGGCTGTCTATTCATACTTTCACGACAAATGCCACGAGTTAATCTTCGAGCCTTTTCTTTGGAATATTCTATTGAATAAGTGTGATAGCTTCGCTCCTTTTCTGTGGAAATTATTCTATTAAATAGGTTTGATAGCTTCAATGAAATAAAAAAAAAACAAAACGTTCTTATAGCCTAAAATTCGAGGTTTAGAAAATATGTTTAACACATTTTACAAATTCCATATCGTATATAAGCAAGAAACACTAAAGCAGTAAAACGGCTATGAATTTTTAACTTTTTTTTTAAATTTCCTGTTTATCCACAAAGTGAACTCTCCCAATTGGTTACACTTTCATTAAAAGGTTGTAATGGTTTGCCGAAAAACGTATCGCGCTTCGACGGTCAAGGACTCTGATACCATTTATGTTCAATAACTTGAATCAGATCTTTGAGAATGTAATGCTTATATAAACTCCATTAAACGATCTTATTAAAAAATGGTTTTCTTATTTTTGTCTTTTATATTAGTTTAATATGACACAAGTGTGCATGGGAAAAACAGTGGTTACGTTATATACTTACTATATACATCGAAATTGTTTCTTGAAAAACTTTTAATTATAACTATTATTTAAGATCTGTTTTTCCGTGGTGCAAAACAAAAGATAGTAGGTATATTATTTCATTAAATTTATTCTTTTTTTTCTACTTTGAAAACCAGCCAAAACCAATTATAGAACACGTTTGAGAAGACCTTTGAATAAATGTTTAGTTTGACACAGTAATGCAACGTAACAACTACGTGACAATCAACGTATTCATTTACATTTCATTTATGCTTATGTTACTTTCGTTCAAGCAAACGCTCGAGGCCTCTGTAAACCCCTACTCACGAAATGTCAGAGTTGACAGAGACAGCCGCCATTTTGGTCCCGCTTCAGATTTTTAAATGTTAATATCTTGAGTTTAGATTCACTATTATTCAAACAAATTATAAAGTATTAAGCATCAATAAAAGGGTCTCTGTTAACATTCCAAAAATAAATGAAAAATATTGAAAAACAAAAAAGTTAGAAAATACGATTTTTTATCTTTGCATCCCTTAACAACAGGAAGTATTTATGACGAACAAAAAGTCATGTCATACACTTATAAAATTTTCATGTTCCATTACTAACATACCCTCATAAGGGCATGCATGTCCTATGGACATATTTCTAGTTTATCCAGTAGAATGATACCTTACAGCCCCAATTAAATTATACATGACTGTTTCATTCGTTTCAGATGTAACAGAGAAGATATTTAAAATAGGCTCTATGGAACCAGGTGCCATGTTGTTTGAAGCCTCTAAAGAATTTTATGTAAGTTTTAAAGTTGTAATTCTTTATAAAACAACTACCATACAGCAGAAACAACAAATTTTTTTGACTGGTGTTAAGGTCTCACACAAGGAAATAATTTCAATATATATTACTATATAGCTTGAATTAAATTATTTGATTTATAAAATTAGACTCTCAGCAGAAAATTCATGAAAGAGAAAATAAAGATTAATGCTTAAACAAAAATTTGAGATCAGAAAAAATATGCCTTATGCGGATTTTAAGAAAGAAAATCGACAGTGAACTTACCTACCCCGAAATGCACGTGGGATTCACACGTTGACAAACAGCCTACACACCATCCAGGAAGTTGCATCATGCGCATCTGAAAAAAGAGTTCCTTTTAATTCAGTGGGATAATTCTGCTAAAGAAATGATATTCCTAGTACACGAGTCCAATTTTAATACTGTAGGCCTAAAACAAATTGCCAAAAATGAAAAAAGAAAAAAAAATTGTCTCTATATATATGGAACTTCAATTGACTAAGTTCATTTTGATTGGCTATTTCCTTGCGTAAGACCTTTAAGACAACTAAAAGTTAATGAAATTAAATGAAATTTGCACAAAATGTCTCTGAGTTATTTATCTTTCATATACTAGTGCATCGAGTTATGTCCAAGACACGATGTAGTTACGATATCGACACATTACTTTTTTTATAGTTTACTATAATAGTTCTATATTCTCATGTGTATATTACAATACTTTTTGTTTTAAGACTATTTCCTTACTGTTGATATCCTCGATATGGTTCCGATATCGAATCATGGTTGCTCTAGGAATTGTGATTTCCATCCTTAATATGGTGTTTTTAACAACTGTTACTTAAAAATTTCTTGATAAATTTTTCCCTGGTGTGTCGATATTGTCGATATCGACGATATCGCTTCGATATTGAATCATGTTTGCTCAGTTCTTGGTAAATGCCTTCCCTGTTTCTTTGAATGTGTTTATGTTTAAATACTTTACTTTTACGAAGATTTTACCTGCCATCGATATCGACGATATCGTATCGATATCGATTCATGATTGTTAAGAGCATATTGCTTTACCAATCTTCATCCTAATATAAAAACTTTATTTTTACATCACTTCTGTGTTTAAAAAGTTTACCTTACTGTCGATATCGTCGATATCGACGATATAGTGTCGATAACGAATAATGATTGTTAAAACATTTTCAAGAATTTTCACACAAATCCAATATCTTACTTTTAATCTAATCTAAAACAATAACAACCCTAAAATTTTCTTTATCATATTAATTTATTTTTATATCCAATAAGGAATCAATTTGGACTTCACTTGTGACTTTCTAAAATTATGTTATACCTCAATGTGAAAATGAATTGTGCAAATAGGATCGATATCGATACGATATCGTCATGATATTGTCGATATCGACGACATCGACATAATATAGAGTCTCAAATACAGCACCAGGTATTTCCAATTAATAGTGCTGATTACGATCGATATCGATACGATATCAACATAATATTGTCGATATCGTCGATATCGACATCATATTTGTTCTTGGACATGTATGGTGCATCAAAATTTATCTTTGTCCTTAAGGGATGAAAAATAGGAGATAACTCTTCCTAACAGATTATTGAATGTTAGGCTAAATTTCTATATAAATTCATCTTTGGCATATTAATTTCAAAACTTGAAAAAATTTAATAAGTGAATTATTGAGAAAAAAAATTTGAATGAAATGAAAGCTGAAATATTGTAGTTTTTGGCTATCTGCTAAAAAATAATTTCAACTCTAATTAATGAGCTCTAATTAGCTAAGAAACAGGAAGTTCACTGATTTTTAAGGAATTAATTAGCAAAAAAGTGAAAATCTTAATTTTAAAACAAAGTCAGAGACTGGAAAAAATGGTGTCAAAATAGACTTCAATAATGTACCTTGGAGCTTTGATAACAGTGATCACTGATTAATGGCTGGTGATTAAGATAAGGGGTTCTTAAGCAGTGGGGGGTGATGAGGCTTTTCCATCAGTCATCAAAGAATGGAGTTTCTCTTAGAAGACCAGGCAGCTCTAAAATAAATAAACAACACAAAAGTTTACAATACTTAAAAATGTGCACCACATACAATAGCATATTCTTAGAAAAAGACTACAAGTATACAGTTAAATAATTACAATGCCAAAAAAAGGACCAAGATGGCTCATCAACATCAATACAAAAAAGGAAGTATTCCTCACAACAAAGGCCAGAAGAAAATAGAGACCACCAGCCCAGTCCAATCTCTGGTTCCCATAAGAAGACTAAGTAAAGAAGAGTTTCAGGACATTGTACGGCCACAGAAAAATGGGGTGTTTGCAGTTAAAGATGCCAAGAGCCGAAGCAGCGAGATGAAGTTTTTACGACCCGGGCCAAGTGAGGTCCAGCCAGTGGACACCTACATGGAATCTGTGTCAGATGACCCAAATTCAAAATTATACAAAGTACTTCAAGAAAAGCTGCTAAATTGTGGAACAATGCATTTAAAGAACACTCACAGAAGTTTCCAGACTGTGATGGTCAACCGGACTGGAATCAGCATGGGGAGGAAAAACGAGGCCTGGCATGGATCCTTTCCATTTGATGTAAGAAGTGCCACTATACCAGTCACCGAGAAAAGCTTTACGAAGAGGTGAGAAGATCTGGCAGGGGAGGAAGAGCTGCACAGCTGAATGTGGCCATGGCTGTCGGTCACCTGGGTACCAGTCTTACAACAGAGGGTATGCGTGGTATGCTTCTTGGTGCAAATATTGAACCAGCGTCAGCCACCAACATGCAACAGACCTGCAACAAAGTGGGGAAAATTATAACCGATGTAAATAAAAACAGTATGAAGAAAATTCGGCAGAATATTCAAGAACTTAATGAAAAATGTGGACTTCCGGATACCCCCATCAGAGCGGAAGGAGATGCTCGGTACAATAAAGCCACCTTCAGTGCCATTGGGAAAACCCCATTCCAAGCTGCCACCCAAGTGACGTACACCGTAAGTGAAAATGTAACTCAGAGGAAGAATGTGGAAGCAGTTTTCTGTGGGAATAAACTATGTAAGAAAGGTGCACACCTACGAAGGAAAGGAAAAGAAGTTACCTGCCCAGGACATGAAGACTGCACTGCAACCATTCCTCCGGAGACCACCATTGGAGACGAGAAGAGATGGGCTGCTAATTGTGTTGGTGAGTTACAAAGTGATGACCAGCCACTAGTCATATCCCATTTCACCAGTGATGGAGACAGTGCCGCTGCGTCTGGTGCATCTGAAAACAAGGACGTGATTGAAAACCTTAAGAACTTGCGTCACTTCTTTGACTCTCAAAGAAAACAGACTGCTAAGGCTCCATTCAGCAGTCACATGTTTCCGGGAAGAACCAAGGCCATAAGAGAATCCATGCAGAGAAGATTTGCCTTGGACCTGAAGCTTCGATGCAGGACAGAGTACGAGAATTGCTACAAACACTACTCCGGTGACTTACCTTTGATGAAGCGTGCTATGTCTACTGCGGTTGGTTCCCTCATAAACTGCTACCAGGGACAGTGCGGGAAGTCCTGTCAACTCTATTCCTTTTCCTGTCGTGGACTGAAAAGCAATAAGTGGAAATCTTCAGTGTTGCCTAGTGACTTTGAATTAAACATGACAGAAAAAGACAAATGTTTGTTAAAAGACTGTATAAATTTGACTTTAGGACAAAGTAATCTTGATAGAATCAAATATCATACTTGTACACAAAAATCTGAATCTGTAAATAGGGCATATTTAAAATCAAATCCAAAATGTATTACAAGTAGTAGGAATTTTGAAAGTAGAATACATAAAGTTGTGCACTCACTAAATAGGGGTCATGGAAACTCAACACTGGAACTTTGTGAATCTGTAGGGGCACCTGTTGTCAAAGGAAGTAGAGTGGTCCATCATCTAAAACAACAACAAAATAGACAAAATTACTTTAAAATGAAACAAAAACTGTTAAAATATAAATTTCAAAGAAAATTCTACAGATCTAAAAGATATCAGCTGTACGATAAAAAATCTAAAGACACTTACAGTAAATCATTAACAGATCCAAAATTAAAAAGGAAATTGTAAGACTGTGAAGGGGGGGGGGGGGCATTGATGATATGTACATGCATTTCAAATGTATAAAATTTGTCTTTAAAAGTATATTTTGTGAACTATCTTATATGTAATAATTGTTTTTATGGTTCATTATGCATTAATTATTTTCAACTGTGTAAATGGGGAAAATGTGGACATGTTAATAATGTATTATTGTATATGTAAAATGTGACATTTTCTTATACGAGAGAGTCTGTACATGTAAAAATGTTATATTCTTTATTAGCTCTTCTGAGCCAAAGGCTCAAATTCTAATGCTATGGCCATTTGTGCGGTGTGCTTCGTGCGATGTGCGGTGTGCGTTAACTTTTCAGAATATGGGCCATAACTCAAAAACCCCTTGGCCAATCATTGTCAAATTTGTTACAGGGTATCCTTGGCCCAAGGGCTACCATTTGTACTAAAACTAGGGTTGGGACCCTAAAACAAGGGCAGATAATCAGGAAAATAGAACCAAAAGTACTGGTTGCTAAAAAATCTTCTTCTCCAGAACCACCAGGCAGATTTTCACCAAACTTACATACAAGGTTCAGGATATGTTGAAGATTAAAAATTGTTCAAGTCATGACCCTGGGGCAAAGGGTGTGGTCTCAAGGTCACTTCAAAGTTAACCAAAATTTACACTTAATAAAAACGTTGATGTTTTGCTTACTATAAAGGCTAGGATCATAAAATCTTGTAAGTTAATGCATCTAAGGACTTCACATCATGTTAACACAAAAGTAGGTCACAGTGACCTACTTTTCAAATTTTACGGGCTTTTGTTTTCAAATTGATTTGGATGCATATTTTGGACACTTTAAGGCCTATGATCATCAAACTTTGTCAGTTGATGCATCTTGGGTCCTTAAACAAGGTCAACTTAAAAGTAGGTCACCGTGACCTACTTTTTGAATTTTATGGCTCATCTTTTCTTAAACATTTCATCCCATTATTTCAGATACTGAGAGGTTTAGATTCATCAATCCTTGTAAGTTAATGCATGTTGGGGCCTTAAAACATATTTATGAAAAAGTAGGTCACTGTGACCTACTTTTTGAATTTAGCAGGCATTTGTTTTCAAATTGTTTAAAAGGCATATTTTGAATACTTTCAGACCTATGATCATCAAACTTTGTCAGTTGATGCATCTTGGGTCTTCGGAAAATGTCGACCAAAAAGTAGGTCACGGTGACCTACTTTTGACATTTTATGGCTATATTTCAGTATCTTAGGTACTTTTTGGCTTATAATCATCAAACTTTGTCAGTTGATACATCTTGGGTTTTCGGAGAATGTCGACCAAAAAGTAGGTCACGGTGACCTACTTTTGACATTTTATGGCTATATTTCAGTATCTTAGGTACTTTTTGGCTTATAATCATGAAACTTTGTCAGTTGATACATCTTGGGTTTTCGGAGAATGTCGACCAAAAAGTAGGTCACTGTGATGTAGTTTTGACATTTTATGGCTATATTTCCATATCTTAGGTACTTTTTGGCTTATAATCATCAAACTTTGTTAGTTGATGCAACTTAGGTTTTCGGAGAATGTCGACCAAAAAGTAGGTCACTGTGACCTACTTTTGACATTTTATGGCTATATTTCCGTATCTTAGGTACTTTTTGGCTTAGAATCATCAAACATTGTCAGTTGATGCAACTTGGGTTTTCGAAACCTGTCGACCAAAAAATAGGTCACTGTGACCTAGTTTTGAATTTTTATGGCTATATTTAAGTATCCTGGGTACTTATTGGCCTAGAATTGTCAAACGTTGTCAGTTGAGGCATCTTGGGTTTTCGGTCGATTGTCGACCAAAAAGTAGGTCACAATGACCTACTTTTGAGTATCTCAGGTACTTATTGGCTTAGAATCATCAAACATTGTCAGTTGATACATCTTGGGTCCTCGGACAATGTTGACCAAAAAGTAGGTCATGGTGACCTACTTTTGACATTTTATAGCTATATTTAAGTATTTTAGGTACTTTTTGGCTTCGAACAATCAAAACTTTGTATTTGATGCAACTTGGTTTTTCAAAGAATGTTGACCAAAAAGTAGGTCACTGTGACCTAGTTTTGACATTTTATCGCTATATCTTAGGTACTTTTTGGCTAAGAATTATCAAACGTTGTCAGTTGAGGCATCTTGGGTTTTCAGAGAATGTCGACCAAAAAGTAGGTCACAATGACTTACTTTTAATTATCTCAGATACTTATTGGCTTAGAATCATCAAACATTGTCAGTTGATGCATTTGGGTCCTCGGAAAATGTCAACCAAAAAGTAAGTCACGGTGACCTATTTTTGACATTTTATTGTTTTATGTAAATATCTCTGGTACTAATTGGCTTAGAATCATCAAACTCTGATAGTTGATGCATCTTTGGTCCTCGGGGAATGTCAACCATAAGAAGGTCACAGTGACCTACTTTAATATGTGAGGTACTTATTCAATAGAACCATCAATCTTCGTCAATTAATGCATCTTGAGTCCTCAGAAAGTTTCAAATCAAAAAGTAGGTCACCATGTCCTACTTATGGTATTTTATAGCTATACTGAAATATCTTCAATCTTAACAGGCAAAGAATCATCAAACTTTGTCAGTTCATGCATCTTAGGATACTTAGAGTAAGAGGCTTCAAATAGAAGTGATAGATTGTACAATTTATCAGAAGAGTGATTCAAGGCCCTTGGGCCTCTTGTTATTTAGCTCATTAAAATTTTTGGAATAAAAATCCTTGTTTTTCTTACCTGTGTGATGAACACAACAAAGGTTACAGAGGTAATTGGTAGAAATCCGGGTATACGGGTGTCAAAACTGTCCGTTGGTGACCAGACTGCATGCCGCATCGTTTATCTGCCATTATTGATCTTTTCAAGGGGAGACAACTCCTGAAATCAGAGAAATTTTAGTGAAAATGAGAGTTACCTGTCCCTCTTTAGGTCTCACACAAGGAAATAATTTGACTATATATTACTATATAGCTAATTAAATTATTTAATTTATTAGACTCTCAGCAGAAAATTCATGAAAGAGAAAATAAAGATTAATGCTTAAACAAAAATTTGAGATCAGAAAAAATATGCCTTATGCGGCTTTTAAGAAAGAAAATCGACAGTAAACTTACCTACCCCGAAATGCACGTGGGATTCACATGTTGACAAACAGCCTACACACCATCCAGGAAGTTGCATCATGCGCACCTGAAAAAAGAGTTCCTTTTAATTCAGTGGGATAATTCTGCTAAAGAAATGATATTCCTAGTACATGAGTCCAATTTTAATGCTGTAGGCCTAAAACAAATTGCCAAAAATGAAAAAAGAAAAAAAAATTGTCTCTATATACAGCCTACTCCGGATATATTGAAATTCAGGGGACCATGCAAATTATTTCAATATAACCGTAATTCAATTTAAGCGAAATCGTGACGTCGCCATTTTTTAAGTTCAATCCCGATATAAGATAAAGAAGAACAAACCCGAACAAATTAATTTTGTCAGCGTTTATATTTAACAGTAAACAGATTACATAGAATATAAGTCCTTGAAAGTTTAAATAAAATTTTTTCTTTCTGTTACATTCAAAAGACAATCTTCAACCTCGTTATTATTCCACGATCACTTTTATTTACGTTTTGAAGAAAAATCACAGGACTTAAACAGTTGAGTACTGTCGAACTCTGCTTGATTTCATCGTAAGTGTACTCAGGTTAATCCCTCAGCTATTTCGAATTTAGACTTATCAATAGCCATTAACGTTTAATTTCAAAGTTAAGGTTTCTTTTCTTAAGATCTGTGAGGGTTACTATATTACATTTAGCATCAATTTCTCAATATTATGTATGTGGAAACATGGAATTTAACAGTGGATAAGTTTATTTCGTAAGAGCATGCAGTATAAAAACACATAAGGTGAAAATTTAATTATTCACACCTTTTATATCAACTGGTCATTCATGCATAATTTCTGTCGCCAACTTAAACAACAGCCGCCAAGGAGTACTTCAATATAACCGTTATTAAAACAACTCATTATCACTTGTGGGGACCGATCAGTGGCTTCAATATAAGCGATATTTCAATATAGCCAATTTCAGTATAACCGTTATTTTAATGCAAAGAATATAAGAGGCAAAAACTGGGAATTTATTTTCATTTCAAAATAAGCGGAATTTCAAAATAAGCGAGTTCAATATAAGTGGAGTAAACTGTATATGGAACTTCAATTGACTAAGTTCATTTTGATTGGCTATTTCCTTGCGTAAGACCTTTAAGATAGGCAATCCCTCAGTTCTCTTTTCAGGTATAGGAAAAGGGTATTCATGTCTCACTTTTGGACAGATTTTAGTTAGGTTTGAGTCATGAGTCACATAGGTGACCACTGGTATTCCTACCTTTTGTCTGTTTTTTTAAGGAATCACTGTCTATTTAGTATAGTATGCCAGGGCATCAACGATAGTGGGAAACATGGGATAATTTGCATAACGGGCGAAGCCCGTTATGCATAAAGTATCCCATGTTTCCCACTATTGTTGATATCCCTGGCATACTATACTAACTAGACAGTGATTCCTTATATTTCCATTTCATTGTGAAATAAAATTGTAGATTTAGACTTTAAAAATGTAGACATAGATTTAAATTACACGAGGACTCCAATGCCAATTTCAATAGTCCTTGCCCACTGACGTCAAACACAAAGGCAGCCACACGAGATTTACATGCATATTCGGCCTCCTCAGTGTCAGACACAGAGACAGATGCGCATGAGATTTGCATGCATATTAGGCCTCTTTAGCTCCTGACCTACCGACCTGCCTAATTTACATGCCGGTAGAATTATCAAGAAATCAACTGTGCTAACTTTCAAAGAGTTATCAAAGAGAAAAAAATTAGAAATGGAAATATCTTCTTATCATTTCTCATGTATACTTTTGAACATTTTCACTTTTAAGGTCAACTCAGGTGACCTATTGCTATCTGTTTTAGTCCGTCGTCGTGCGTTGTGTTGGGCATTAACTTTTGAACATTTTCAGCTTCTTCTCTGCAACCACTCAACCAATTTTAACCAGATTTGGCATAAAGCGTCTACGTGTGAAGGGAAACAAAAATTTTGAATTTCATGGTCCCTGCCCCCCTGGCGCCTGAGGGGCGGGGCCAAATGCACTAAAATTAATGCAATCTTTAAAAATCTTCTTTACTCCTGGAAATCAAGCAGTCCTCTACCAAAATTGTGAAATTCATGCTCCTGGGTTCAGAGGTTCTAGTGCTGGGGTGGGGATAAATAGATCATATAGTGAAAATGCATTAATTCTGTCAAAATCTTCTTCTCTGCTCCTGGGTATTAAATAAACTAACTAAGTACATAGTAATGATGAGCAAGAATATTTTTCCCAAAATTATGAATTTCATAGCCCCAGGGTCAGGGTTCTGGTATTAGGGCAGGGCTCTATTGATTATATAGCAAATGTGCATAAATTCTTTGAAAATCTTATTCTCTGCTCCTGGGTATTAAACAAACTAACCAAGTACATAGTTATGATGAGCTAGAATGTGTCTTTTTAAATTGTGAATTTCATGGCCCTTGGGTCGGTGTTCTGTTGTTAGGGTGGGGCTCTATCGATTATATACTGAAAATACATTATTCTTTAAAAATATTATTCTCTGCTCCTGGGTATTTAATAAATTAATTTAGTACATAGTTATGTTGAATAAGACTGCCTCTTTCAAATTTGTGAATTTCATGGCCCCAGGGTCAGGGGTTCTTGTGTTAGGATGGGCTCTATTGATTATATAGAGAAACTGCATAAATTCTTTAAAAATTTTCTTCTCTGCTCCTGGATATTAAACCAATGAATAATGTACAAAGTTATGATGAGGAAGCTAGGAAGCCTCTTCCAAATTTGTGAATTTCAGGGTCCCTGGGTCAGGGTGTTAGGGATGGGCTCTATTGATTATACAGTGAAAATGCAAGAATTTTTTGAAATTCTTTTTTCTTGGCTCCTGGCTTAATTATGCCAATGATCTATAAGTACATATTCATATGGAGAAAGGTGATTGTACAGTGAAAATACAATAATTTTTCAAAATTCTTTTTTCTTGGCTCCTGGCTTAATTATGCAAATGATCTATAAGTACATATTTATGATGGAGAAAGGTGCCTCATCCAAAATGGTGAATTTCAGGCCCCCTAGGTCAGGGGTATGGGGGAGGGGGTTACATATTATGAAAATAAATTAATGCTTTGAAATATGCTCTTTGGTATTAATCAACCATGTACTTATTTAGTTCTAAAAATCTAATCTATTACAAATAATTTGAATGCCTCTTTCCATTATCTTGTCCGAGTATAATCACGGTCGGGAAATGTCTACAGATATACATGTACATGTAGAATTTTGCAGAAAAAAAATCATTAGAAAAATAAGAATGACACATAAATATATAATATTATTGCATAATAATTAAGTGTATTTATGCAATACGTCAACAGACCTTTGTAAATTAAAACTAGATGCTGTCATGAGACAGTAATACCCGCACTAAGGTGTTTGCCTCTAAATACACGCTCCTACATATTGGGCGGCTTTCCAAGGAAAAAGTCAAAATAATTCTATATAATTTACATGTACAGTGTATTCATCAAATTGAGTATGAAATTCTCCCTATGACCTATAACTCTGAACCTCTTATATTTATTTTACATGCTTAATTCATTATATACCAATTTGAATTCTATTAATGATGTAAATTAGATTTTGATAAATGTTTTGCTCATAATTGCTGAGAACCTTTTCAAATTTACTAATCCCCCCCCCCCCCCCTCTCGACATCACAATCACACAGCACATACTTTTTGGAATAGGCTAGATGGAACAGTTTTGTTAAAACATCGTTTGTTATGAATTAATTTAAAATTTGCTCTTGTACTATACATGTTAACATGTAAATTTCTACATCACATTACGTTGCGTCACCCATTATCATATTTTTAGATTAAACTCCATTCGGCACACCTCGGCCGATTCCCACTTCATCTGATAAGGTGACAGAATCGACGGCACGAAGGTTTGCCGAATGGAAAAGCATTAGCAGTATCATGCTGCAGTCTGGTGTGCCAATATTCATTTTGTGTTATAACTGGATTATATATTTCATGAAGTTGACAAGACCTATGGAGGTCGGTAAGTACAAGTTTAAGTATAGTGGGGGGTAAAATAAACCCAAACGATTAGGTTAAAGTTCAAAAAGGGTCAAAGATCATCGCATGCCAAACTACACGAATTTCATATTGTGAAGTTATCTCCCATTGTCGATGTGACATTCAGTTACTGCCAATACTGGTGCGGATCCAGAATTTTTTTTCGGGAGTAGGGAGGTGGGTTCACATCTCAGTCAAAAAATTCCAGCCCAGAATTTCCTGACAAGCAGGAGAAAAAAAAACTGAAAACAAATAAACAAAATAAAAACAATGATAGTGGGGTCAATGTTTTCTAAGTTAGGGGGAGGATGTCCAAAGTCATTTTTTATTTGCTTCAGTATATAGTCTTGTTTAAATAACAAAGCAAATTCCAGGGGGGGGGGGTCCAATCTCCCTACCCACTCCCTGTCCCTGAAATAGTATATTTTTTTTCCATTTGACTAATTATACATATTTTGTTTCTTGTGTTTATATTATGTCTGTCTATTTGTCTGCAGAAATTATAACCTTGCCCATAAGTTTTAAGTGGGATGGGCTATACAAATGGCTTCCACATTTTATAGGTTTATTTCTTGTGACAATTAAGACCTTTTATTTGGGTACCATTAATTTTTACCTCTGATCGCTTGACCTAGGATACACATTTTTACAAGAAAAATACCAAACCTTAAACTTGGCTTAAATTTTGATCAGTAGGTGCTAGGGCTTTCATGCTTAACATGTACTGTATTCATTGTGAACTGTCAACAGGTTTAAATATGTTTGACCTTGACCCTAGAGTTTGAACCACTTAAAAAAAAATTAACCTTGGCAATTAACTTTTCAACAGGAAGTACTAGGGATTACTTATTTCACATGTGCATTCCTTGTGACAAGACTTTCTTCTGATATCAACAATTTGAACCCTTTGACCTTGACCTTTGAGTTTGACATATATTTGAGAAACTTCAACCTTCGCCATAGGCTTCCATACAGGGACATCAGTGTTTCACAAACACATCTTGTCTTCATTATTATTTGGTGCTGTCTCCATATGAGGGAAAAATTCCTGAGAGAGATGTATTCACAACAAACAAACAAATTACTAAAGAAAATATAAAA